AGGTAGCTTCAACGGTAATGCGCACAGAAAAGGCATCCCTTGAGTACTCTGTTTTTTCTTGTTAGCATTTAAGGGTATATTGGGTTTATAATTAAAACCAAAATATGTTAAATATGTGATAGAAAATCTTTAAGACTTAAAGTTTGTTGGAAAAAAACCAGCTGAATTACTACAAAATATACCTTTTATAATATTAGAATTAATAAAAACTAAAATACATTTTTTGTGTAATTTGTTTGGGTATCAAACAGTCGTAATATCCTTGTTATGTTTTCCCGAGAACTGCAGGCTGATGGGTGCAAAAAGCTCGTAGGACATGGTCTCCATTTGCTTTCGCCCCATTTGTATGTTTTCCACCGCCCACTCTTTCGGCAATTCGGCTGGCAAAAAGCTGAAATTGAAAACTCAAAGTACATGGAATGGTATTGCTATTATGGGCGCCACCGACATGCATATGTGTGGAAAATTTTCAAACATTTTGTTGCCTGTTTCGTGGAAGAGTGGAGCAGTAGAAGGATGCTGTGTTCGGCAGGCTAACAAACATTCAATTAAAGCATACTTTTGTGCGCCCCAAAAAAGCTGTCCACTTTTTCGCATTTTTTCCGCTCTGCAATGTCAACTCGCTCTCTAGAAAATTTTAGCTTTTTATACGTTTTTTTGTATAGTTAATATTTCAAGTTTGTAACATTTAATCAATGAAAAATATATGACATTTATATGAATAAAAATGGGGTAAAAATTAATTTAGCTGCAGATTTGATACCAATATCAATGTTGTTAGTCAATGAAATAATTATTTAAAATAAATTTAAATTCACGGTTGAGTTGTTTTAATTTAACATTATAATATATTCATTGCTGTTTAAAAATGAAAAGCTCATTATAATATGCAAATATTGTCAAGAAAAAAAATTAAAGAATATTTTAGTATATTTACTATTTTTTTTACTTTTTAGGGCATCATAACTTCTTCGTATTTACTGAACTTCAGGACTTTTTGTCTGCATGTTATGGGTTTTTTGTTCTTCTTTTAACAGTGCAATGGCTTCAATTAGCTCACTTAGAAACAGGAGAACTAGTCGAGTAAAGAGTAAAAGCAACTCATAGGTGAGCACCTGCTCAGGTTAGCCTGAGCATTAGTTAGGTGTTGTCTGCACTGCGAAAAATGTAAGTACCTATCATAAAAAAAATAACTTTTGGTTAGCCAAAAAAAAAATGTTTTAAAAAATGGGTGAATATTATTTTATGGTAAAGATAATGTTACTTGTATTTCAAAAGAAATGTAACTAAATAAAAATTGAATTTTTTAAAAATCAATTTTCATCAATTTTCAAAACCCAATAAATTTTCTTTTCTGTATGCGTTTTGTCGGAGTCCTTACCTTCTGCTGTTGCTGTTGCCACTAATAGTTTTCCAGCTCGTAAAAGCTTTGTTGCTGCTTTGCCTTTTCTTGGCACTTTGATCTAAGTTGGCTGGCAACGGGAATCGGCTTGGCTTTGCTTTGCCGCTTAGTTTTCCCACTGCTCCCAGTTGGAATCCGTATCTGTGTGAGGGTCTGCTCACCATCCTTGTGTGCCCGCCATGGCGGAAACTTGCCAGGCAATTTCCGCTTTAAGTACCATTAAATTCGTATTCGTTTTAATGAGCTCTCAACATGATTCTCTTCTCTTTTCTTCCCTTCCCCTAGAACATCTCTATATTTTTCAGACTGTCAGCCAGTCAGTCAACCTCATCCGAATCTCCCGGAGCCATGGTTTTAATGACATTCGATTCGTATGCCTATCCCATGCTGAGTCTGCCCTTTGTTTAGACAGCATGGGGCTTTCGCTTTTGTGATCCCCTTTGCTTTACGACCGCTTTGATGGGCTTTTCATTTCATTTCGTACAATTTTCGACCAGTCGACGGTGAAATCTTCTTAAGGTGCACGCTAAAACCTATTTTTGTGTGGGAGGCACAGTGCAAAATAATATTAAATATCAACGACGGCGATGTAATTTAATCAGATAGATTTTCCACAAAATGTATTTTCTTTCAATTGAAATAATCAAAGAAAATTTATAATATGTTTTCTTATTTATATATATTTAATTTCATTTTAAATTATTATCGAAAAAAGAATTTAAAGATGAAAAATACAATTTAGAATTCGATTATTAAACGGGTTACCCTAATGATAAAATAATTTAATATCTTTTCCTTTTAGTGTGCTGTCTAAGATAAGCCGCAAATCGATTACCGTACAGAGTCCACCTGAGTACAGCGTATCACAACCAATCGCTGTTGATAAACTAATTAATTTTCATGTCTTTGGCATGTCTTAACATTGCGCATACGCCGCGTTGCACATAATTACTTTGCTTTTGCTAGCAAAATACCCGATAAATAATTCAGAGCGCATGTGAAACTACAAAACAAAAGCACAGACTAAAGTTAACAAAGGACTCGAATCGCAGAACTTCGTTTCGTGTTTGCGACTTATCTGGGCAAATGGATTTTCCTGCAGCATTTTTGGGGCAGCTGAAACGGGCGGTGTGTATTTCGCCCACTTTTGGAAATCCCCATCTATTAGTGCCAGTGAAAGCAATTATTTGAGTGGAAACTTTGAGGTTACCGCTGAAAGTTAAAAGCTGCCTTTGCAGATGCGGTGGCGACTGGCTTGCTTTTGGTTTGGCATTATCTCGTTGCGTTTCACGTTTTTAGTTAATGCTGAAAATACGAGTAAATGGTGGTAAAGTTGAGCTAGCGGAACAACTTTACAATCGCTACTAAAGTCTGGGGCATTATATTTAACCAGTTCACTGCTGATGTTAATGGTTTACCTTTTGCGGATGCGGATACGGTTGACGGAGGAGAGACCGACGATGTCCAATAGATTAGTTTTGCAATTTTTCAGCTCAACACTTTGGCAGGATTAAGTGGGTTGAGCGGCACAACAATGACGCCACAGCAACTAATTCCTAATGGATGTTCGACAGCAACGGACATAATTCAAATATGCATTAAAAGGGGTTTTTGATGGTTTGAAAAACTTTGCCTCTACGCGCTTTGCATTCTCATAAATTTTAATATGTGACTAGCAATAAAACAATATTAATGGTTAGACTTTAAAAATTATTTAAATATGTTATTTTGTGTCGTACTATAAAAGATTGTCCTTTTTTAATTTAAAAATTATATAAAATATAGTAGTGTTTGATAGGATTTATTATACATTGATAAGTGGCATAAATGTTTCATTCTATATAGCTATTCAGTTCATTTTTCTATGACTTTGCATAGTCATTAGTCTCGGATTTTGGATGAAATATTGGTCTAAATTTATAACTAATATATAGGGAATGTTTCCTTTTTATTTGTAGCCATTGAAAAATATTTTAAATAAAAAAAGAAATCTAAATTATGTCACTTCACATTCCCTCACTTGTCCAAGAAGCCATCTCCCTTATAAAGCATCAGGACTGGCATTTAAAGTTTGAATGTGCCACACCATTCAGCTCACATTTTGCATGGCTTCAAAAATTTACATTCAGGTCCAGGGCATTTATATTCCATGGGCGGCATACCATTACCAACTATTTTCCTTTCAAGTGCAAAATGCTGGAAATTGTCACATCAAATTGGACAAACTTGGAGCAGGCGAATGGCATTCACGTAGACACATTCACTCGGCAAATTAAATAAACACCTCTTTTAGCATTCACACAACGAAATGTGCAATTACATTACCGACTAGGAGTATCTGTTTTGGGCTGGAAAAGGGGGAAAACCTGCAGTCATCAGGACCTGTCTTTGAAATTTCCATAACATTTGAGTCACCTGTCGGTGGTACAATTTATCATATGCTGACACGCCAACTGTCATTGTCAGGATACGCGAAAGGACGGTATCGGAAATGAGATAGAGTAGCATCAAGGAGTAGAGGCGAAGTCACATTGTCTGGTATTTTGCTCTTTACTTACCACTTGTCGGGCCGCTTTATTAGCCACATTCATTGCCGTGGAACGGTTTTCACGGATCTTCAACTATTTTTCTCAATGGAATTCGCTATTTTCCGTTTTATTTTTCGTAGCGCTATTTACTTTGGCTCTTTTTTTGTATTCTTCATCAACTGTTTGTCATGTCAACAATGCACCCAACTCAAGACAACACTTAATTATGTTTTCTGTTCCATGGAAAAGTTTCGCAACAGGAGGAAAACGAAGGATGAGAGTTGAAAAGAAAAATTACTCCAAATGGCAAAATGATTCCGGAGCTGTTTTCTCCTTTGGCTGCTACATCATAAATTATTGAAGTTGCCAGTCTGTCATAGCCATGTAGTTTTATTTCCGTCTCTTTTTATCCCAATCATCTCTCTCTCTTTCGCATTCTCTGCTTATGTCTCTGTCTGTATCTTAGTTGTGCAGCTGGGAATTTAATTTGGCATCAGGTGCCAAGTCGCGACCTCGTCTTTAAGCAAAGCCATCGTTGCAGAAATATATAGAAAATAAAATGAAACTTTTCCACTTATTTTTGCTGCCACAAAAACGGACAAGAGAAGAAACTAATAAAATGTTTTTTTTTCTTGCGGTTTCCACTGCTATAAAATTTATTTTGTTTTCGCATAACTCGAGAATGCTTTCCCCTTTCGGTTTTCTTTCTGCCACTCAATAAATAAGTAGCGTAAATAATCCCAACTCCTTTTTTGGCCAGCCTTTCAGAGAGGGAGAGGTAAAAAACTTTTGGTTGGCAGCGTTGTCCCGTTTACATGACAATTTGACAGTTTATTAAGTTGCCAGAGTCTTGCTTTTAGGGGAAGGGGGTTTTTCATCGTAATGGTACAGTTAGAGTGAATATTTCCCAGGGGAACATGAAACTATTCAATGGACTTGAGTGCCTAAGGACTATTTTGTAAAGAGGTGACTGGAACATAATTAAATACAATAAATACAGGAAGGGAACTTTTCTCTTCATTGATGTTTAATCAATTGATGAATTAGTTTATGAAGTAGTTAAAATAAAAATTTTAAATTTTATTTGGTAAATGAAACCACAAAAGATGTGGATACGAACCACTGAACTTTAAAATATAAATAATTTTGTTATATTTCACAGATATTTGTTATGGCTAGCAAATGGTTTTACTTTCGTTTGGATATAGTTCCATCGCCAATGCGATCATATTTGGTTGATCGTTGACCAAAGGATCGTTCCGCCTGCTGGGTGGAAGTTTTAAGTAGACGATCCTGTTCTCTGTCCTTGATTCGCTCTTTTGGTCGTTCCTTATCCCGCTGACGTTCACGATCCCGCTCCACTACCCGATCTCGTTTTATATTTCGTTCTTGTTCTCTTTCTAGTTCCCGTTCTCTTTCTTTCTCCTTGTTACGGCGCATTTGATCCTTCTGCTGCTGCAGCAGTGTCCAATCGTATACATAGTCGTACTGATGGTTAAGTGAGCGAAAAAGTATCCGAAAGAGCTGACGGAGATAACCGTGATCCGGTGGTTCCTTGAAACGAAGATTATGGACGTAGTTCATCAGTAGACAAAATTCAGAAGGAAATCCCTTGCAGAGTTCCGGAATCGAAACGCTTTTCTTTTTCTCCAAAATCTTTTCGTACTTCTGCTTCTTATTGACGGCAGTAATACCCTGCCATGGTAACTTTCCCAAATTAAAGTACATCATGCAATAGCATAAGGACTCCATGTCATCTCGGCGCGACTGCTCCACACCCATCTGGGCATTTATCGAGGCATAGCGAACGGTGCCCGTTAAATTGCGATCTTTGCGATAGGGGATATGCATCTGCGTTTCGTTGTCCTTGTATCTCTTGGATAGGCCAAAATCGATGAGGTACAGCTTGTTGCACTGATTGCCCAAACCCATTAGAAAGTTATCGGGCTTGATGTCGCGGTGAATGAATCCATGCTCGTGGACACACTCAATTCGCATTAGCAGTTGATCGATTACCATGAGTACGGTCTTCAGGGAGAAACGACGTTTGCAGAGATTGAATAGTTCCTCCAGGGATGGACCCAATAGCTCTATAACCATCGCATTATAGTTCTTCTCGCTGCCATAATGAAGCAGTGTGGGAAATCCGTAATTGCTGATGAGTTGCTCATATACCTTTGCCTCGTACATCAGTTGCGGATACTTGGAATCGTTCGTCTCCACCTTGATGGCTACTTGGGAGCCATCCTTTACGCTCAGTCCGAGATATATATCGCCAAATGAACCGGATCCAATGGGCTTTATCACCCTATATTTTCCGCCTATCAATTGGTTTTCCAGATTCAGCGAAGTGGTGCGAGCTCGTCCAGGAGTGGTTGGTGGTTGTACCCCAACCTTCGCCATTGGAATCCTTAATCGATAACTTTAAGCCAGGAATAGTTTTCCTTTCGGAAATTTGCTTTTACAGACGAGATATTCAGTCTTTTTTTAAATTTTTGTATGGAAAACTCTAGTACTAAGCCGATTTTGACATATAAGGCATCTTGACTTTTCACCCTGGACTGGCTATGGCTATGCAAAACTGTTTAAAGCGGACTATCGTTTCTTCCAGCCCTTTAGCTTTCAGCTCTGACTAAAAAATAAAAGCTATTTGAAGTCACAGGAACAAACAGAAATTTAGATAGGCCGTAAAGCAATAAATATTCTAGAAATAAGCATAAACTACAAAAACTAATATATAGCACAATATCAATTTCCTCAAATACTTAAACCATTCAACAGCTGACAACGGAAATTAAATATGTAAAGTGGCAATGTAAAATTCAATATTTAAATGGTACCACCATTAAAATGGAAATAAGCTGGATATAAATATGAAATTAGATCATTAGCTTAGCAGTTTGCGGAGAGTATGAAATGTGGATGTGGGAAAAGTGGGTTGGCAGAGAGTGAAAATTAAGCGCTGCTAAAAGTAAATAAATAATGAACAAACACACGCAAAATGAAGCATTTATAAAACCGCTTACAATCAACATAATGATGATGATAATGATGATGATGGTGTCTCTGAAGTGTTTGTGTTGCTGGGTGAGTTGTGGCGTGTAAGTGTGTGTGTGTGTGTGTGTAAGTGAAGACAATGGAGGGCAGAACAAAGCATCTTAAATGCAGGTAAGTGTGTGCGTGTGTGTGTATGAGTTTCGGCAGGTGCATTAAATGCTATTACCACTGCTCCACCTCAACCCATTCCATTTCTGCCCCGAAGGCAGAAGCACCTTTCACTTGGCAACGTCCATTGTTAATAATTTCAAGACAAAAGGCCACACTAAAACAATAACTAAGCACGCATTAAGTAGTAAGTAAGTAGATGACAATGCCCGGGAATCTACAAAGTGATGTGGGCGGGGTGACTTCTGTCGCAAGATGAGTTAAACGGGATTGGGTGGAATGGAATGGCCAAAATTGCAAAAAAGTTATAGATAAAAAATAAGAAGCTGCTGCAAACGACGAAGACGTGACAGCAAATAAAATAAAACAAATATAATGAGATTTCGTGCAGCGGGTGGAGCAGCAAGGGAATTACACTTTTCAAAAATAAATGTCTTAGACATATATTTAAAAATTTAAAACAAAGGCAAACTTTGCAGTAATCCGTTTATTACAAGAAAAAAATATAAAATGTTTAAGGTAATGAATTCATAACTATTAAAATTAACATTTCTATATATGATTTTAAGACTTTATAATATAAAATAATAGCTAAATAAATATTGGTCAAGTCCAAGTGATAAAAATAGTCATTAAAAAAAGTATCTTTTAAAATTTAAAATTCATGCTTAACGTTTTTCTTGCAGTGCACAAAAGCATAGCATACTTATCAGCGCCAGGCGAAGCAGCAGCGCAAAGATGGCGTCGCGCGCTATCTTTTGTCCGTCTTCTTCCCTTCCAAGTGTGTCTGTGTGTTTTAACTCACGCTCACGCTCACAACAACTAAATTTATTTTAGTTTTAACTATTTGCCCAGCACAAACGACAAACGGCGAAAAAGCAACGCTAAAAGTAATGCGAAGTCAGTGCATCTGTAACTGTGTCTGTGTGTTTGGGCCAAAGTATTTGACACACACAAACAAATCTTACTCACACATACATAGAAACTATAGAAACTACACAGACGCTCATACACACGCGGACACATTTTCACTTTTCACAAAACATAGCGCACAAAAGCCGGCTGAGGACAAAGGATATTATAAATTACATACCAAGTTTTCTTTTTTTTTTATCCTGTTTTGTTTCTTTCAGCCTTGTGGCCCGTCCGTGTGAGTTTGATAGTGTTGTTGTTTTCTATGTGTGTGAGAGTGGGTGTGTGTAATTTGGTGTGTTATTGTTGCTGTTTCTGTTGTTGCCGCTTTACACTAGTTTTCATTTTTTGTCGTCTCCCCGTCCGCCGTTCGTCGTGTTATTATAATTTTAGCAGTTTATTTTCTTTTGCTATGCAAACTTAATTCCATTTCTCTGTTTATGTGCTTACACACTTGTTCAACTAAAACATAGCTAAATACAGGGTGTCCTTGTGTTCCTTAGGCCAATTATGGACACTTTTATGGTTGAAAAGTATTCCTATTGAATGTTAAAGTAAGAAAGTTTTTTAAGCTTCTTTTTAGAATTATATTATTAAAGGTTTTCTTAGAGTATTCGCAGAGGATAAATTAAAAATTAAAATTATTTTTATTTATATAAAATTTATTTGAAGTCCCTGAAAACACACCCTGTAAGATAGCAATCAAGCAAGGGCAGCAGCAACACCAACAACAATAGCAGCATCAACAACAACAACAAAAAATAATGTGAAGCACAAAAAAGTGGTTACCCCGCACAGTCAAAAGTCTGCTCGTCTGGACAGATTGGACGGACATTATTGCTGCCGTTTGCGTCGCTGCCACATCCGCAGTCGAAGTCGCAGTCGCTGTTGGCGTTGCAGTCGATGTTGCTGCTGCTGGCAGCGACTGTACCAAACGTAGTACGCAAACAACACTAATACACACAGACCGTAGAGAGTTTGGTATGTACAGATGTACAATACATACAGATGGTGATGGCGGCATATGGCAACATTCCACGCGCTCACTCGAAACCACTCAGCAGTAGACAGCAGCAACATTAAAAGCACAGCAGCAGCAGCAGTAGTGACAAGAGCAACAGAATCAACAGCGACTCTAACAGTAATGGCAACATCAGGGAAAGCAGAAACAGCAACTTTAGCAGCAACAATAACATGAATATGAACAACAGAAGTAGAAATATAAGTCAAATTTGTACCAAAGAATGGCAGAAACCTAATCAATAGCAGTAAGAACTACTGAAGCAGCAGCTTTAGACAAAAAATCAGCATTAACCGAGGAAACATCACCAACAGAAGACGCAGCATCATCACAAATAAAAATCGAAAACAACATCAACATGACCAGCAGCAGAATAAGCGACAGCAGCATTAACAGCAACAATATCAGCTGCCACAGAAGTTGCAACATCAGCAATATAAAACAGGAACAACAACGCTAGCAAAGCTTCAGATGGTAGTAAAATTTCATATATTTTTGGGAACTACCACCTCCACAGCACAGCTGAAGCATCAACAACAACACCACCCCGCTAACGCCACCCCATTTCACCCTCCCAGAAAATCAGTGTTTTTTTTCTTCAGAAGTGGGGTTGGTTTTCCTGTGGTGCGTCCCACAGGCAAAAGCCGCAGCCTCTGTCGGGACCATAAAAATGGATTTTTATTATGCTGCTGCCGTAGGTTTTGCTTTTGCTGTTGCTGTTGATGTTGCTGCTGTTTGTATGTTGATTTTGCTCCTGTTATCTCTGTTGGCAGAGTTTTCACTCACCTTGTTGTTTGTAGGCAAAAGCCAGAGATGCCAGAGAAACTTTCCTCTAGCTTGATGCCAGTGTATGTATGCAGTTATGTATTTAAAACGCTCCCTTTTGAGTGCTTGTTTGTGCTAAGCTTTTGCCAAAATTGTTGTTGTTAAGGTTACGGCTCTGAAGATGTTAAAATACACTTAGGTAGATTTTTTGAAACTAAGAAGGATATGCAAGCCGATCTTGGAGGAAAGTGTTAAAGAATTTTATCTCTATTTATACTAAAAACCCTTATGACAAACATTTTTAGAAGATTATTATTAAATGTTACCAAAATGGGGATATAATTCGATCAGAATCTTAATAAATATTTAAATATATATATACATATATACATATGTATCAATCCATATATATTAATTGAAGTGAATTAAGCTTCCGATAAGCTTCTAGAATCCATTTTTCGGTTATATTTTGCACATCCCTAGAACAGTTGGCAAAAACCCATAAATCTATTTTATTCGACTATCAAAAATCGTAAAATAAGCCATAAAATAGTCATTCTGACCAGATCTATATGAACTGATTCACTCCGAAATTTGAGTGAGTCTCGACTGAAGGAAGCTTCCACTCAAAACGAAAGCCGGCAGCAACAGTCTGCCTGTGTATGTATATGCAAGCCTCACACAGATACAAACACACACATACACCTATGGGCAGCATCAAGCGGAGTATATAAGTATCTATGTAATAAAGAGGACCGGGCCCAGGACGAAAACCAGGATGGGAGTGCTTGCCATTGCCACCACCCCTCAGAAAACAGGACACTATTGGGATTAAGTCGACGGCGGCAGCAGTACCCTGCCTATGTGTGTGTCTGAATTTTTTTCTTTGTGTGTATGGTTGTGAGCTTGACTGTGTGAGTGAACAGGATGCTGTGAGCGTATTTTGTATTATTTTGTTTTTGCCTTTTGCCATTTTGTACATAAATCACCAGCAGCGAACTGAGTCTGAGGCTGAGAACGTGAGGATGCTGCTGCGCAGCTGCTGCTCTGCTCTGCTCGAAGAATATATATATATGTGTGTGTGTGTGTGAGTGGGTAACGGTGTGAGTGTGAGCGTGCCGCCATTTGGAATTTTTCGAAATTGGGGTTCGCTACAACAAACGCATTTCGTAGTAGACGTTTAGGCGTCAACTAGTGCGCTTGGTGCTGCGCTTACACGTAAAGCACGCTCAGCCGAGGAGAACGCTGAATCTGAATCAGCATCAGAAGCTCTAACTGAGACTGAGTCCTGCCACTAAGACCTCCTACACCACACACGACGACGAAAACTAGTACCCAAACCGATAAGACTCACACTTACCACAAGACACAAAGACATAAAAGCAAAACATATATATTTCAAATGACAAAACAGACTAACAAAGAAACTTTTTAATTCGACAGCCACACTATTTTTTAAAAAACATACTAAACCAAATCGTTAGAATCAAACGAAACGAAAAGTGATAATGCTGTGCCAAAAATTAAACATAAATTGATATAAAAGTGTCAAGGGCTTATGCCAAAAAAATGGAAATGGCCAAGAGCTCTCTTTGTCTCTCTAAATAATTAAATCAGTAATTGATTTTAATTCCGTTTTCAAAAATGTGCGCGTTATATAAAATATTTCCATGGGTATGTACTTGATGTTGTAATGGAATATACGTCTTCTATATGTCA